TAAAGTTAGCAGTAATTTGGAGCTCCACAAGATTTGTGGTAAGTTAGAACTAATAAGCATAACATTAACCATATCTTTTAAAGTTCTATTTTTGTCTCTCTCAACAACTCCATTTTGTTGAGGAGTATATGGTGTGATCGTTTGGTGAATAATACCAAACTTAGCATAGAAGATATTTGGGTTGGTGCATTCCTATCTTGTGTACTAATTTCTTGAATGTAGATGCATACAATGCTTTGTGTGTAAATCAACTACAATATTACTTGAGCAATTTTGCTGAATATCGATGTCACCAGTCTTTTAAAGCTAATGTATATAGAAGGATTTTGGAGAAATATGATTTGTCCTATCTCATTTGATATAGCCTCATTTGAGTTGTACAATACAAACTATATTATCTTCATACAATACTGTTGAACTATCTTTTGTTGAAGTTATTTGCATGAAGCTTGCATATGATGGGTCATGTTTTTCATCCATACATATTCTTTACTTGCATCATAGATTGCAATAATTTCATAATAATTTGAAGGTGGTGGTGTTGTTATGATTTACTTTACGAATCTTCATAATATAGTTGTTCCACATATAATGTTTGCAATTTAGCATTATGTGGAGCTGTGAGGTAATATGCATCTGCATGTCCCACTAAATAAAATCCCAAATTTTGAGAATAAAACAATCTTATATCAATAGTTCATCTTAGGTAACGAAAAATGTGTTTAACACCATTTCGATATTTTTGAATTGTTATAGAGCTATATCTTACAAAGAGATTTATATATATATAAAAAAAAAACTATATCTAGTCTAGTACATTTGCAAGATAGATTAGTGCCTCGATTGCATTAAGATATGGTATTTTAGGTTCAAAAATATTTCTCCAATTGGACGAGATGTATCTTTTTTCACATCAAGTGAATGAATCATCATAGGTGATGCAAATGAATGTGCCTTATTCATATAAAATGTTTAAGACTTTTTTTTTTTGTATATGAAGATTGATGAATAAATAATCATTATTGAAAATATTCAATCTACAATTCAAGATAAAATTTAACTTTTCCCAAATCTTTCATCCTAAATTCATTTTTCAAATAATTTGTAGTTTTTTGAGCTCTTTATGAGTTCTAGTTAGATTTAAATCATCAATATAAACTGTTACAATTACAAATTCAATATTTGTTTTCTTTATAAAAATACATGGACAAATATCGTCATTTTTATAATCTTAACTCATATAATGATCTTTCCAATTTAATTGAGAACATAGTTCTATGTCATGTACAATTTGTTTCTAGAATTTTGAGTCCTTTAGGAACTTTCATGTATCATTATCAAGCGAACCACATAGATATGTAGTTACTATATCCACAAGGTGCATGTCGAGCCTATGGAACACACTCAAACTAATTAAAAATCTAAAAGTAATAGTATTTATTATGAAAAATATATATTTCCCCATAATTGATACCAGGTCTTTGTGAGAAACCTTGTGCTATGAGTTGAGCTTTATATCTTGTAGTTTCATTATTTTCATTTCTCTTCCACACAAAAATTCGCTTATATTTTACATGAATTACATTTTCAGGTGCTAGAACTATATGTCCACACACTTTTCGTTGCTCTATGACATTTGACTCCACCTATGTGACTTCTTTTTTTCGGCCAATCATTGTATGTGATAGTCTTTAACAGATTGTGATTAAGGATCCTCATTTTGTACGATTTCAAGAGCCACATTAAAAGGAGAAAATATTACCTATAACTATTTTGTTCCCATAATTTATGAGATAACATATAATTTATTGAAGTCTAGTTTTTTTTAGACATTTATGGTTCTACACAAACTATATTATTAGTATTTTATTTATCAATCTTTTATGATATTGTTTTCTTCCGAAATTTTTTTTGTTGATTTTTCTCTTGTACTTTTCTATGTTGAGGTATAGAGCCTTTGGTACGACCATGCTTATCGTATATTTGAGTTTTATTTACTATAGAAGATTGTCCTATAGGCACATCATTTTTTGTTGGAATATTTTTCGTTAGTACATATGACTTCGTCACTTCAATTGTATAAACAAGTAATTGATTTGAAAATCTTTACAGTGAATATTCTTTTTAATTTCTTACTCACATTAATTGCTGCAGAGATCAAAGTGATAAAGAGTTATATCATTTGAAGAAATTTTACCTTAATTTTAAAGATGCATTTTTTTTTCCTCCCAAAGTTAGAAAGTCATTTCATCAAAATAACAATTTGAAGAACGTGCAGTAAATAAATCATTCATTAAAGGTTCAAGATGCCTAATAATGGATGGTGAATTAAAATCAATATAAATTTTAAGTTTTCATTGGAGACTCATTTTGGTACGTTGTGGGGGGTAAAATTGAGATTTGAACAACACAACCGAAATTTCGTAGGTGAAAAATATTATATTCAAAACTAAATGCAAGTTGCAATGGTGAGTACTGATACTAAGCATTTGGAATTTTATTTTCATGAGTAATAATCTATCAATTAATTGTAGACATTTGATAAACGACTATACTAAGTTATTTTGTGCATGGATATAACCAATGACATGTTCAATGACAATCTCAACTCACATATAATACTCATTGAATGCATATGATCTAAATTCACCAGTGTTATTAGGATGAGTTGTTTTGATTGAGTAATTGGGAAATTAAGCTCGTAGTTTTATAATTTGAGCAAATAGTCTAGAAAAAGTTATGTTCCTAGTGGGAAATAAGCAGGCATGGGACCATTTAGTAATAAAATCTTATGCTATAAGGGTTAATGTTGAATCTCCAACTTTCTTGAAAACAAATCACAAATATATGTTGAATCTCCAACTTTATATATATATATATATATATTTATTTATTTATTTTTATTTTAAGGGTTAACAAGCATCAACTTTGTGATAATGTTTGATTCAATCATTTTATGAATTTATAGTATATGCTTAGAAGAGAGTATGAGGAGTTTTTATTTTGTCTCATTCTGGTCAGATACAAAAGAAGTTATGGAAAGATTAATAGTATTTTCTTATATAGTCTCAATATGATATTCATTGCAGCGAAAATCTTTAAAACTAAGCAAATTACTTATAGATTTGTCAGAATAAACTACATCATCAATATATAATTTTGTATTACCTGATAAAATAATACTAGCTCTTCTAAAGCTTTCAACGGTATTTGATGCACTTGATATCGTGTAAAAATTATTTTTTACAAATATTAATTTCATTAAGTACTTGAAGAATTGTGTGTGTAGTTGCACGAACAAGCATCTTAATGATCCATTTAAATCTTATTAATATATCAATGTTTATGCATCTTCGGAAGCAATAATATAATATTTTTTTGAGAATATTGAAACATAAATTGTTATGCTCTTTAGCAGTAATAATTAATATTGCTCTTGAATATTAAAGAAATAGAAAGTTATTATCTTCAAAAATTAAAACCCAGTATTGTAGTGTATAATTTATGCTTCTTTAGGAATACCAATAAAATATTATTAACCATATAATATTTTTTCTTTGGAGAACTTAATATAAAATTGTATTACAGGTAAAAATAACATATACTTCTAGAATATTTATAGATTTATTAAGTTGTGAGACTTCTATGATAAACAAATTATTTTCATAAAATTTATATATAGATTGTATCTCTTCATGAGATCAGATCGTATAATTTTCTTCAAGATGTGTGCTATTTTTTAGAGAACGATAAATATTATAATTATCATTTCTATGAAAAATAATAATATATTTTACTATTGCTTCTTCATAAGCAATAAATCAATATTCTTCTAAAATATTGAAATTATAATGTCATGTTATTCACGAGTAAGCGATGTTCATCTAGAATATTAATAATAAGTTATGCTATTTCAGAAGAAAATAAAATATACTTTGAGAATATATATATATATAGATCTATGAAATTATAATTTTTCTAGATATGCATAATTAAAAAGCAGAAGTATTCAAGAATTAAAAAAAAAAAAAAGAGAGATATATATATATATATAGATCTATGAAATTATAATTTTTCTAGATATGCATAATTAAAAAGCAGAAGTATTCAAGAATTAAAAAAAAAAAAAGAGAGAAATATATAATATTACGTATAAGAGATAAATAGTTACCATTCTATATCAATCGGACTTACATGCTATATGTATCAAATAACTCAAATTTAAAACTTGATCAATAATTAAATATATAACGAGTACAAATTTTAAGAAATATACTAAGATGGTAATTAAACATAAAATATTAAACCAAATACATGCAGACAAAATGGAATGATTCAAATGTTATAATTAGAACTATCATATAGAAAAACACGTAGCTCACCCAACTAAGAAGTATTTTTCTTAGCCCCTGTTTGATCTCAATTTTCCCCAAAACTTATTTTCAACTACTCATTTTCTCATAAAATTACATATTGAAAAAAGGTAATTCACCAACTAAAGACATGAAAAAAGTTTAAAGCAAAAATGACAAAAAAAAAAAAAATACACACACACACACAACACATCACGTTCATTGCACACTTCCTATATAAAATTTATCTTCAAAGAAATTTTGGCTTATAAATTTCAAATTTGACCAACCACATTAACTATTATCATTACGGTGTTAGCTAAGTATCAATTTCCTTACCTCCATGCCGTGCCGTCGCAGCTACTCATATTTCTTCAAATATCTTTAGTTTTAATCAATTATCTACCACATAATTTAATTTAGTTGTTTCATATATAATCAATCATAATCATGATTAAAGAGAAAGTGCATCATACAGAGGATATATATATATATACTTCAAAATGAATCCACTATTTTCATAGTACAATTTACATGCTCAAACTGATTCAAGAAGTAAAGCAATGAAACGAAATCACAAAACTCATTATAGAATAATTAAAAGCTCTCACAAACCACTTCTTTTTGTATGATCATTATATATTTGCTTCAATGGTGCAAAGGGTTTGGACCGGTGGGGACGAGGCGCTTTTCGACGCCACAGCATGGATCAATCTCGGGTGGCCCTCTCTCCTGTGAGTGTTTCCGGTGGTGGCGGCGGTTGAGAAAAGGACTAAAGTCAAACTTGGTGGAAGCCATTGTTTTTCTATGGATTAAAGGATGATGCACTAGCAATGATGATGAGGAGGAGTCATTGCATTCGGAGTTCTGGAGGTATTTGATACCGTAGAATTCGTGAAAGAGTACTAGGAGGAGGAGAAAGAGCCAGATAATGGAGCATAATACATGAGGAGTTCTCAAGGCCATGTGGGAAGAGGTGAAGGAGAAGGGTTTTTTGAAGAGGAAGCATGGAGCAATGAAATCAGGCGAAGTCTTTGAGTCTATCATGAAATTTTTGAAGGTTGATGATAAGTGTATCGGACCTAAAATAACGACATTTGATAGTTCTTTTGATAAAATATATTCTAAATTGTTGTACTTTATGTTTAATGGGTGAAACTTTATGGATTAAAAAAAAATTGAAGAAAGGAAGCAAAATGTGGCGGAAAATGGCAAAACTCAAAGTACGAGGACTAACTTGCATCATGTGAAAGAATTGAAGCAAACATTAATTAGTTGGACCTTAATTTGGATGGACTTTTATTGGGTTAAAAATTAGGTTTTATAAGATTTATATATATACGTACACGGCACAGGAAAAAAAAAGGAGGAAGGGACGCGCAGAAGAAAAAAAAAGGACTGCTGCTGTTGGGAATTAAGAAATCAAAGAAAGAATAATTATTAGCAAAGTGGCGGAGTTGGGAATATATAATATATAAATTAATTCACCTAAGTGGAGCAGTTGGAAATATATAATATATAAATTAATTCACGCAAACATAGACTTGAAATTGAAGAAAAAGGCGGCTTCAATTAAGTCTAGATTTGTTCACGTTTGGTCAATTTCTGGTGATATCGTTTCACTTTTGCGTGTTTAATTTCAATATTATACTAGACTAGATTTTTACATTATTAAAGATATATATGAACCCTTGTCTTGAAATTTTTAGTATTAATTAATTATTTTGAAGTTAATTCGTTTGAATGCGTGGATGTTTATTATTGTTTAGATTGCTTTTCAATTAATTGGTCATTATTTGAATTGGTAGTGAATTTTGTTATTATCGAGAGAGATAATAGAATTGTTAGCACGTAGTAATAAACATTGTGAGGTTCGATAGATGATAGAAATATACATCTATGCTTCACATGGTTATTTTGATGTTCTAACTCGTTTAATATTTTTTTATATATTGGTTTCTTTTATAAAGATATAGAATGGCCACATATAGGATTAAATTTAATTTCTATCGAGAGATGCTTTTAAATAAATTTGGAATTTCGACAAACTCGCATGATAACAAATTGTCACTTTAATTGTTGTACTAAAAATGGATTAACAAGGGGGATTCTATATCTTAGCAATGCATCTCAAAAATTTGATAAACTTTTACTTTAATTTCTTGTACGTGATAAATTAGATATAGATTTATAATAAACTATTATTGTTATTGGATTAAGGGTATTATTAACTTTAACTCGATAAAACACGTAGTTCTCGTGGGTTCGACACTTTACACACTACAATATTACTTGATCACGATCCTGTTCACTTACGGGAAATCAAACGATCAAGTTTTTGGCGTCATTGTCGAGGACTACTGTTTTTGATACGTTTAATTAATTTCAACTTTAATCTGAATTTTACTGTTTTTCTTTAGTTTAGTTTACTAAAAAAAATTATTATAGTTTATTTTTCTTTAGTTTAGTTTAATCTTAGTGTTTATTTTCATCATGTTTATTTCATTATCGTCATTATCTTGCAATCCAGAATTCATAACAAGTGGTATCAGAGCGAGGTTGATTGTTCTGCATGGCGACAATGAAATATAATATTCAGCTATTGGATAGAAATACGAGATTTACCTTATGGCAGTGAAGATGCCAGCAGCTTTAGCGCAAATGGATTTGGAGGAAGCCTTACTTAGCTTTGATATGATGTTTGCTACATGAACGCATGATGAAAATCAGCATATGGATTGGAAAGCCCAATTACAAATTTATCTACATTTTTAAAATCAAGTTCTTTAGGATGTTCTAAAGGGGAGAAGTGTCACTGCGTTATGGTTGAAATTGGAACAACTTTGCATGACAAAAAGCTTGAACAACAAGCTATACTTGAAACAACCCTTGTATTCTCACCGAATGTTTGAAGGTGCGTCATTGGATGATCATTTAACTATGTTCAAAGAAATTGTGGTTGATTTGGAGACATTGGAAGTTAAGTATGATGAGGATGACTTGGCGTTGATGTTGTTGTGTTCTCCGCTACCATTATATGTGACTTTTTGAAATACTATTCTCTATAGTCGGGATACTCTCACCGTGGAAGAGATCTATGATGCTTTACTATCTAAGGAGAAGATGGGGTATTTTGCTGGATGATTTGGGAATTATGTTGAAAGCTTGATTGTGCGTGAGAGAAATCAAGATATGAATCATGATAGAAATACGAACGATAGATCGAAATCTAGACATGCTGAGAAAACATATCACTACTGTAAGAAGAATGAACATATTAGAGCTAATTGCTATGCCTTGAAAAACATAAATAAAGCTACTAGTGCTACTGAGAAAGTGAAGCGACCTGTTAACACAGCGGAAGCTGATATTGTGGAAGATGGGCAAAGTGAATGAGAATTTCTTGCTATTTCTAACATGGATTCCAAACCTTGTGAGGAATGGGTTCTAGATTCGGCCTTTTCATATGTGTCCCAACATGGATTGATTTTCAACATATGAAGGAGTTTCGAGAGATGCAGTAATTATAGGAAACAACGCGCCTCGCAAAATTGTCGGAGTTGGTATAGTCAGAATCAGAATGTTCGATGGGACGATCAAGACACTAACAAATGTAAGGCATGTTCCAGAAGTGAAGCGGAATCTAATATCTTTGAGTATACTTGACTCAAAGGGTTATAGATACACTAGTGAAGGTGGAGTCTTAAAGGTAAGCCAAGATGCTCTTGTTGTCATGAAAGGATATAAAAGCTCTACACATTTGTAAATTTTGCATGTTTTCACAGTAATTGAAGATGCAGCAGTTTCTACTTCTTCTTTAACGGATGATGAAGTCACAAAACTTTGGCATATGATGCCGGGCATATGAGTAAGAATGACATGGCCGAGTTGAGTAGAATGAGACTTCTTAATGGGTAGAAAACTAGTAAAATAAATTTTTGTGAGCATTATTATGTCTTTGGGAAATAGAAAAGAGTCAGATTCATGAAAGGAAGACACAACACGAAGGGAATCCTTTAATATATCCATCCAGATCTTTGGGAACCGGTTAGGGTACCATCAAAAGGAGGCTATTACTACTTGTTGACAATGATTGATGATTTCTCCACGAAAGTTTGGGCATTCTTCTTGAAGTAGAAGAGAGATGTGTTTGGGATCTTTAATGAGTGGAAAACATAGGTAAAAAAGCAGACTGGAAAGCAGTTGAAATGTCTACGCATAGATAATGGTTTGGAGTTTTGTTCACACGAATTCAATAACTTCTGCAGTGCTGAAAGCATCTTGAGACACTTGACAGTGTTTAGAACTCCTCAATAGAATGATGTGGCAGAACGGATGAATATAACTTTGATGGAAAATGTTCGTTGTATGCTTTCAAATTGCCTAAGATTTTTTTGGGTTGAAATTGCTACTACATCTTGTTTTCTGATTTATTGCTTACCCTCACTTGCCATTGATAAAAATACAATAGAAGATGTATGGTTTGGTAAACATTCTTGCTATTATGATTTGAAGATTTTTAGGTGTGCTGTTTATACTCATTTGGATAATGGGAAGTTAGAGTCTAGGTCAAGAAAGTGCATCTTTCTTGGGAATAAATAAGGTGTGAAGGGATGTCAGTTGTAGTGTCCTAAGACAAGAAATGTGGTTGTTAATAGGTATGTAGTATTTGATAAACTTGCTATGGTTCGTGGTTCATTTCTTGAGGATTCTGATAAAACTAATGAGCAAAATCATTCAACTCAGGTGAAGTTGTAAATTGGTTTAGAGGAATAATCAGACGTTACAAATAGTCTACTACGGACTAGTCCAGTTTGGGGTCGGAAGACAGTAATATCTTGCCTACACCACCAAAACCACAATATTCTATAATTAAGGATAGACCTCGCAGATAAATTAGACCTCCACAAAAGTATGGGGGAGCAGATTTGGTAGCTTATGCATTTAGCGTGGCTGTTGATTTTACATAGGAGCCTGCTACATATTCAGAGGCAGTCAGTTGCAGTGGTTCTAGCGGATGGATGATTGCTATACAGGAGAAAATTGAGTCATTGAGCAAAAATAACAATTGAGACTTAGTGAAATTATCTAGAGGTAAAAAGGTTGTTTGCTGCGAATTGATGTTCAAAAGAATGGAAAGCACATCAGGGATTGAAGACGTTAGATACAAGACTAGATTAGAGGCAAAGGGCTACAGTTATATTCCAGGTGTTGACTTTACATGTGTGTTCTCAAAGTTGTGAAGCATAGTTCTATCCAGGCTTTACTTAGAGTGGTGGCTAAGAATGACTTGAAGCTTGAACAGATGGATGTCAAGACATCATTCTTACATGGAGAACTTGAGGAGAGTATCTACATGCAACAACCAGAGGGGTTCATAGTCTTTTGAAAAGAAGAATGTGTGTTCTTGTTAAAGAAGTCTTTGTATGGACTAAAGCAGTCACCGAGACAGTGATATAAGAGGTTTGATTCATTTATAACTACTTTTTCAGATGAAATTATGATAGTTGTGTGTACTTCAAAAAAGAAGATAGTAGATCGACTATATATTTATTATTATATGTTGATGATATGCTCATAGCAGCCAAAGATAAAGCAGATGTCAGAAAAGTGAAGTTTCAACTCAGCAAGGAGTTTGATAAGAAGAATATGGGTGCATCAAAAAAGATTCTTGGTATGAAAATTTTGAGAGATAGAAATCCTAGCAGATTATATTTGTGTCAGAAGAAGTACATTGAGAAGGTACTTGAAATATTCAATATGGTGAATGCAAAGGCTGTCGTACACTCTTGACTGCCCACTTTAAATTGTCATTTAACTTGTGTCCTCAAGTCAGATAAAGACATTGATTCCATGTTTCGGGTTTCTTATTTCAGTGCAGTTGGTTCGTTGTTGTATATACTACGGTTTGTACAAGACCTGATTTGGCATATTCAGTTAGTACAATTAGCAAATATATGACAATCCTAGCAAGGAACATTGGAAAGTAGTGCAGTATATCTTTAGATACTTGATGGACTATTCTAATGTTTGTTTCCATTTCGGTA